AACAACAACAACAGCAGCAACAACAACATTACCAACTTCATCTTCAAATTCAGTTGTTGTTAATCCTTTATTATTACCATCAACAAATGATTTAGAATCGACAACAAAAAACTCTTCTAAACAAGCTCCAATAAAAACAATTAAATATGATAATCATTTATTAAATGTTATCATGAAAACATCTGATCAATCAATAAATGATTCAAAAATATCTATTAAACATATATTTGAACAATTTTTATTTAATATTAATTATGATAAATTTATTCAATGGTGTCAAACAAATTTATTACTACCATTAATTAAATTAAATGATGAAGAAAAAAAAATTCTTAATAATAACGGTAATGATGATTATTATGTTGATTATCGTCATCTTGATAGATGTATTGAATTATTAAATGATCTTAAACGTGGCACAATTAGTATGACTGTATTACCTTCATCAAATAATGAAGTACAACAACAAACAGGATCAATCAAATCACAATTAGCAGGTAAATATTGTCTTTCTAAATATCTATATCTATATCTATATATATATACAGTAGCCGTGAAAAATTATCTAATTCGGATGTAAACTTGATGTTTTTTGTGTTCTTGCATTAGATGCTATAAAGAATCTAAATGATGATTTGAATAGAGAAAAGCTGTTTGAAGTAAAATTATGAGAAGCTTAGATATTTCGGTGTATTCTCCAAAATTCTAGATTTCTAGAAAATCAAAGTTCAATCAGAGAATTCTTTTTAACAACGGAAAATGATAGAGTAGAACATTCTCAGCAAACTATGACATCTTCGTGCTCTCCGCGATGTTTTGTTTTTTTTGTACTTCTCTCATCGGAAATAGCAAAAACATTGCCTTTTGGGTGTTCCGTATATTTGATGTAACTCAACCAAAAAATATCGTAAAAACTTCTGGAACATGTAATTTGCTAAAAATGTTCTCTTCTATTGTTCTTTGTTGTCAAAAACAAACTTTTATTATTGAACTCTGGATGCTAGAAACCTAGTCATTTGATTTTCTAGAAATTCTGCACTTTTCTCTATTCAAATTACTATTTAGATTCTTTATAGCATCTATCGCAAGAGCACAAAAATCGAATTTTAATTTTAATCAGACAACATCAAAAAATTATTTTTTTCTGAACCATAGAACTCAAAGAAAGATCAATAATTGGAGGATGAGATGTGACAAGATGAGAGTGCGTGGGATGATGTAATTTTACATCACTATTTTTACTCTTCCATCATCCGAACATTCTCACTCTCACCGAATTCCATTCTAATCCTTACATTTGATATCTCTCATGCTCGAGTAATTGATCTTTCTTTAAGTTTTTAAGATCATTAATTTCATCTAGTCAAAAAATTAGAATTTCAATTTTGGACAAATGTAAAAAGTGGGTCACAATGTATATATTTACTCTTTATAACGGATACAGACTAATGTTTGACTTGAAAAAATAAATGCACAATTTATTTTTCTTTTCCTTCCGTTATTTGATCTCTAATTATAAATATATGTTAATCAACATTAAAGCAAAACTTTGTTTTTTTTTATTTTATTGTTAGGCGCTAAAAAACGTAAAACAACAATTCCAACAACACGTCATATACCACCTCCATTACAATCTTCATCACCGTCATTGCCAATATTAACAAGAAATGAATCATCAAATCCTATTTCATATGATAATGGTCATCCATCACCAGAATTACCTCTTAATGAAGAACAATCAATATCATCAACTACACAAAATTCAATGATTAATAACAATAATGATAATAATAATAATAATAATAATAATAATAATACTATTGATGAGGATGATATTATGCCAGTTGTTGATACTGTTGAAGAAGAACAACCAATACAAGAATCAAATCAATTAGATAGGAATACATCATTACTTATAATTGATTCAAATGAATGTGATGATGGAAAAATTCAACTTGATGATACATTACCATCATGTTCATCAGGTTATGAATCAGCAGCACCATTAACAAATGTTGATATTAATATGGTACATAATCCAAGTAGTGATGATGATGAAACAAATTCTACAACACGTTCGAGAGAACATTCATCATCATGTCAATCTGAACAATCACATGCACCTATTTTATCAACTGTATCAACAAATATAACGTTAAATATAAATGAACAAGAAAAAAATGATTTAACACCGGTGATACCAAATCAAAAATCTAATATTCGACAACGTGATAGATATGGTAAATTTCGTGCACGATCACGTTCACCAACACCACGTAATATAAAAAAAAAACGTTCACTTGATAATGATTTATCATCAACAAATACAATAAGAAGTGAACAAATTGAACAACATTTACGAACATTATTAATACCAACAAATGAACAGCGTCGTACACGTACAAGACCAATTAAAACTCCAACACGTCTTGTTGAAGAAATATCTTCAAATAATTCAATCAAAACTATTGAGCCAGATATGAATACTTTCGATGTGCTTTCAACATCATCATCAACAACAACAACTGATAGTATAAATAAAACAAACAGTAATGAGTCAATGATAAATCATCAACCATGCACATATAATGTAACGATATCAAATAAACCAAATAAATTGGGTTTAACTATAAAAAAAGTTATTCAACGATAATAGAATTTATGTATTCGTTTTAAAACAAGGCTGAGAAACAGTCTGATTATTATTTTTTTTTCTCTGTGTTCGACTTCTTGTGTTTTTTTAATCATGTGCATGAAAGAAAGAGAGTGAGAGAGAGACTAAAACGAATCCTCTATTATCTTACATTTATATTCGTCAATTCTTTACTTATGTCATTGAATTGACTTCGGAAAAAAAAATCTTCCCGTCCCATTAAGATCTATATATTTGTATATAGATTGACTGTTGTTATAACTGTTTTTTTCTTTTCTTTGTCTGAATGTACAAACAAACTTGTCGTCTACATCGATTTTTCGTTGTGTTTTTTGCGCTTTGTTTTTTTTTTTGTATAAGACACATCATGTTGATTGTTATTTGTGTATTTCATTTTTTTTTCTGATGATAGTTCAGGAGAATAAGACTTACATATGAATTAAAAGAAAAAAAAAGAACTTTGAACTCATATGATTAATCATATCGTTTTCTTTTTTTTTTTATTATTATTATGAAAGAATAACATGAACATTTTATGATTGAACAATCATACCACTGAGCAAGTATCCACTTGCTCCAGACATACGAATAAATGGATGAGTTCGTTCGTCAAGAATCTAAAAATAAATTTATATTAAGATTATTCATAGAATTTAAGTGTGAAATGTGATTTTATGATAATGTCAAAATATATTGAAGGACAGATAAGTGCATTTTTCTTTACGTGTCAAGGACAATTCAATATATCATGTTTTTTTAATAACGTAGAAGAGGAAATCATTTTTTATCATTAAATATAATAGAATATTCCAAAATACATCTACCGGAAGACAACTTTTTCTTTCGAATTGTCTGGAGTATAGTTTTTATTTTGCCGAAAAGTTTTATTTCCAATTATAAATTATTATATTTTCATATTTATTTTTAAGCTTCAAGAAATAAGTATTAAATGAATCTTAAACTCTAGATGTTAATGATTGATTTCTATTCTAGTTAGGAAAAATTTATATTTATTTCTCTTGATTTAAAATTCAGAAAAGAACTATTGGCAAAATGATTCATCGATCGTTCGAGGCAATCAGTCTTTTTGCTCGGATGATTTAAACACTAACGAGATGTAAATAAAGCAAATGTTGCACTCTATTTAATCTTAAGCAAAACTCAAATGGACCGTATTATTATTTTACAGTGTACATAAATCAGGTGTTTTTTTTTTGATACTGACGATTCACTATTGTTATTGGTCGTATAATTTAGAATAAATAAGAATCCAATTGATGAAGTAGTCAACTGTGAAATTTACAGAGTGGGTAAAAATGTTGTTTCAGAGGGTACCGCTGTGCTTTTAAATTACATCAATAACAAATTTTATACCAAATCAAAGGGGATCAGCAATAGGATTTGTCAATACTAAATAGTCAGAATTATGACAAGTTTTCAGTGTCGAATTCAGACGATTCCTAAAATTCGACGCCATATCAACATAGAAAATTTCTTTTCACGAAGCATGTCAAACTAGATCTCATTTAAAATGATGAATATCACAAAATACTCCGATATCTGACCTGAAAATATCGAAAAAAATAGACAAAAATGAAACTGAAAAAAAACCTGCTATCAGAGATGGAACACAATCGTTATGATGAAAAAACTCTAAGAAAACCAGATTTCATGTGTTTTGGCAAACATGGAAAAAAAACATTGATCTATTTCAAATTATATTATATTCGTATCCATTTCATCTTCCTGCTATAAAAACACTAATGGTTATTATACTGATTATTGATTATATTCATCAAATCTTAAAAAAATAAATATTAACTTTTGATGTTCATCATTTTATGTGCGATTTAGTTTGAACTGACTCATGAAAGGAATTTTTCTCTGCTTATATGGCATAAAACCTTAGGAATTTCCTAAATTCAACACTGAAAAGTTGTCATAATCCTTACTATTTAGCATTAATAAATCCCATTTTTTGACGCACTTTAATTTAGTATAAAACTTGTTGTTAATGTCATTTGAAATCAGACGGTTACCCTCTGGAAAAACATGTTTACCCAACTTGTAGTTTAATTGGATAGAAAAAACGAAAAAAGTGTTTTTAAATTTAGAGAGATAAAGCTACAATAGATATTATTTAACTAGTTTTAATCAGTGACATAATCAGAAAAAAATTGTAGGAGAGGCTCAGACACTTGACCATGCCTGTAAAGGGAACGAAGATCCTCTGGTAACGGTTTTGAAGGGGCTCAGGTCCATTTTTAAGCGAAACTCAACCGTTTGTAGGGAAACCTGATGAGGAGAGTCCTCAACGGATTCATCGCTTGTGGATCGAGACTATGTGCATCATGTAGACTCTAATGAGTTGTAAATACCCTACAAAGAGTTCGAGTCCTTAGTTTATTGCTGTCATGATATCGTGTTATTTTACGATAACCCAATAAAATTTCGATATCTCAAGAACCAAAGTTCCAGAAAATCAAACCATTCAAGAATTTTCTATTAATCATCAAATGAATATCGTCTCGATTTGACATGTGAAGTGGCTTCCTCGTCAGCAGCAATAAGCTAATGTCCTGAACTGTTTTTCGAATATTCTTAACTCACTAGAATCTATATGATGTACGTAGACTCGACTCAAAAATGATTAATCAATTGAAGAACTTCTCTTGTGAGTTCTCTCCCGCTCTCATCAGATTACACCGGTAGTCTTAATTGAATTCTTCTATTCGTAAGACTAAAAATATTTGGTGTTCTAACCTGATATTCTCTTAACCATGAGTCGGCTATTTCGACATGAATATTACCACCACGTTTTTTCAAAAATTGATAACATTCAAGTAAATTCTAAATCAATTCAAGAAAAAGTTTTTTAATTAAAAAAAAACTTAATAGACCGATTATTTTACTTGAACAGTTTGAGAATAAATCACAAAATGTGAAGATAATGCTAGATAATCGATAAGATGTTGTAAAATTGAAAGTGAATCATATTTACTTGCAATAATTAAACTAAATAAAATGAATAGAAAAAAGAATCTTTTCTTTTCTAATTCAAATTAAACTAATTTTACCTATTAAGTTTTGTTTTTTCAAATAATTGTAAACCATCAAGGCGTCGTTGTCGTCGTTCTAATGCTTGTAAAGTTTTTTCATTTGTTGGTTTTTCTATTGGTTTTGCTTGATTAGCTCGTTCAATAGTATTTAGATCGCCTAAAACAACAAAAAAAAAATCGATGAACAATTACTTTAAACAGTTTTCATTTATATCATACTTACCAACATTTTCAATCGGAATTGTATAAACATTCGTTGTATATTCATTTGAGAAATCCATAAAATCACAACATGGACTAGAAAAAAAATAAGAAATTTGGTATTAATACTTATGTTGTTTTATTTTTTATTGTTTTAAACTTACGAAGTTGAATTTTTTTCACCAGCTGGTGTTAAATTAAATATAAATCCATTTCCACCAGCACAACGTTGAATTACAGAAGCTAATATAAGTCCTTGACATGATTCAACAATAGCAACATTTGAACCATGATTTATATTTGATAATGATAAAAGCATAGCTAATGTATCACGTCTTAAATACCTTCAATAGAAATTATATATATAATTTAAAAGATAATTGAATCAACGATAAATACAAAATTTTTTGAAGATCATGTGTATATGCTTGACATAATAGACGAATACTTGGCTTCCATGCTCGATAAATTAGAATATATCTTTTAAGAAAACAGATGGATAAGATTTGATCAAAAAAGAATATATCGATGTTACTTTTTCTTTTTTTTATTCAAATATTTTTGTTGAGAAAAAGCAGTTTTCTTTTCAAATGTTGCACTTTTTGATACAAGCTGAGATATAATTAATTGACCTGATACACCTTCAGATTTTAATTGTTCTATTTCTTCATGTTGTAATGTTTGATTAACACTACCATCATCACATAAATCTCGATTATCTTGACCAGCATTGTCTGATGATATATCTTCTACAGAAAAAAAGAAGACATATTTTTGTTTTTCTTCATTTTTATTTAAGTTATTGAGAATTTTCAACCTGTTTGAATAAGTTTCTTAGCTTGATTTGTACCAATGTTGCATAAATATTTATCTTTAAGTTCAAAATATGATCCATCACGTTGATCAATAAGATGATCGAGAAATATTTTATTTTTATCGATAAAAATTGGACTAAAAGAAAATATATTAGAACGTATATTGGAATAGGAAAATGGTTTCTACATGTACTTATATTTATAAACATAACTACACAGCAGAGATGCCCATGACGACACGGAAGATATTTCAAAAATACTGTCACGGTAGCGGCAAATCCTTTTTTACGAAGATTATAAAATTGCATTAATTTGCACTCGAATTGAGTTTCTACAAATTCCACGATCAGAATCGTAGTGAGCCTGACCCATTCAATCTAACTATATTAATTTAGGACATTGACGGAAAAGATTTTTCTCTAAGACTATCGAGGCGGCGTTGGTAACTTTTTGTGTAGTTCTCTGCGTCACGATGGACATCTATGTTACAGAGTGTCTTTCTTTTTTTTTAATAATGTTTAGAGATTTAACATGACATATGAAAATATATTATTTGCTTGACATAATTATTTATATATTGGTGGTACTCTCAACGACCCAATGGAACAATTAAATTCTTTTTTCAATTCTTTTTCATTATATTAGATAATTGATCAAAATACATATTCATATTTAATGAAAATTTAATTTTTGAGAGTATTGCCTTAAATATCTTACCAGTAACGATTTCATAGTATTAGTAGGAGTAGATCATGAAAATTTTTCTCATGAATAAATCTTGTAGTTTATCGAATGTTTTTGACACAAGAGTTCATACTGTTTACTTTTTCATACATTTACTATTCGTTAATTACATAAAAAAATAATCCGATTAGCATTTTTATTATGTGAGGATTTACTTTCTGTAGATTATTTGTCAGAAGATAGAGTGTCGGCGTGGATGATGTAGGTGTGAATCTGAGAATAGGTCTTTTCTACTTCTACACACACCCACACTCTAATTATTGCAATGACTACTCATTTGTTCATTTTTGTTATTCCAAATAATAAACGGAAAGTAAATCCTTACGCAAGAAAAACGCTAATTGGAATATATTTTTTATCTAATCAATGAACAGTACACCGTACACACGCTGCTCAAGATATTAAACATTTAATACTTCGAGAACTGTGATACTTGATTATATGCAAAATTGCTTAAAATATTTTACTATATGCTTGAATCTCAATAAAACATGATAAGTTCGGAAGGAGCGGTCATAGACATGAATTCATCTATACTGTTTTGAGAAATACGGTCTAAAAGGATTGCTGAAGTATAAGAATAAAAATTTAGATCTCTCCATCCTCCGCATCATAGATCATATATCAATAATGTCTTGTTAAACTACTTCCTTATTGCATTTCTGAAGGATTAAGTAAAACGATGGTGAAGAAATGTATCCCAAAATAGATGGAATAAAGTAATCTCCTTGTAATTAGTAGCAGCAGCAGCAGCTACATCGTGTTTCACATTGTAATTCCAGAGAGATTAGACTAACAGCTTTTTAATTTTATAAAGATCTATTCATATTAAATACGACTGAATCATAAGTCATATGATATTTCGAGTAGTTCTTCTTAGTGCATATGTTTATTTTAATCTCTTCTAAGAATTCTAAATTAAATAAAATATGAAAAACAAACTCTTTTTCTTACCGTCCTTTTCGAATTTGTACTATTTTTGTTCGATCATGACAGGTTAAAACTGCATGATCACCATCTTTAAATGTTGACATCTATAATAATAGCACAAACTTAATCATCATCATAAAGTTTTTATTGATATTACTATCCAAAACATACACACACACACACACATATGCATAGAAAAATATTTATTAAAAATGCACCCATGGATTTTCGTACAATGTAAAAAAAAAGTATAAAATATGAAAACTAATTGTTAAAGTCATTATAAAAATTTTAAATATTAAATAATTAAAATAGTTGTCAATCATTTCTGTTAGATTTGGATTACTATTTCATTGCACTTTCTTTTTTTTTGAATAATTCAATATTTCATTTCAATGGAATCATAACTAAGATCTACAGCGCATAATTAAATAGAAATACATGAAAAACAATAGAGCAAATAGCATATGAAGAATGCACAAAAAAAAACAACGAAGCGATTAGATAGAGATAATTCATGAAAAAAACAAACATTCCTTATTGCAAAAAAAAATATGTCAAAGTATTATTAATGAACGGCTGCTTTACTAAAGACGTCACTAATTGCTCCAAGAATAATTGCAACTGCATAAGCACCGGGATCAACAAATTGTGCATCCATTGATTTTGTATATGAAGCTCGACCGACTTTTGCAACAAGATTTTTTGTTTCTTGTGCAGCTCGTTCAGCAACTATTGCTAATTCTTTCCAATCTTCTGATGTAAAACTTTGTTGTGTACATTTTGATTTAATAAAATCAACAGTTGGAATAAGAGCATCTAATAAACTTTTATCTCCTGGTTGTACACGTGCATATGATTCAACTGTTTGTATTCCAGCTTCAAATGCATTACCAAGACCTTCGATTATTGTACTTGATTGAGTTAATAATAAATTTTTTGCAGTAGCAGCAAAAAAAAGACCACAAACTAAAAAAAGTATACATCAAACGAATGGATTTAATTGAACTTTAAAATCATTTCTTTTGTTTTTTTTTTACTTGCTCCACATGTACCACCCATTCGACTTTCAGCAATAAGACCAAGACGACGAAAAAGTGATGAAGGACGATCAAATTTTAATTTTCCATTAACAAGATCTTGTGCCATTGTATCAGCTGCTCGAGCAAATGCTATACCTGTATCACCATCACCTGAAGCAGCATCTAATTGATTAAGTTTATCTGTTTCACTATGAAGTGTTTTAATAATTGCTTGAAGTGCTTGATTAACTAATTCAGCAATAGATGATTCAAATAATAATTGAGAGTCACTAAAAATTAAAAAATGATAAATTTTACTTTTGCTATTCATTTAAAAAATATTTCTTACTTATTAATAAATTCTGTACTAAGTTGTTCATTAAATTCTAATGAATCCGATAATATTTGAATACTACTTGATAATTGTACTGGACTAATTGTTTTTGGCCAAGCAAATGCATCTGTTGGTAAATCAAGTAGATTTAATATTGTTGAATTCATATCTGTTGTTAATTTAAGTACAGTTAAAGAAAAACCTTTCATATTCAATGATGTCATCATTTCACCACATATAATACGTTTAACATGTATTGCACGACGTTCTAAACTTTCAATAGCATCTTTAACAATAATACCTAATTCAAGATTTGAACAACCACCTAAAAATAAATAAACTATATAAATAAAAAGAAAACAATCAATCAAACAAACCAAGATTATTGACAAAAAGAAGTACATTATCCTCTTGTTTAATATCAAGTGCACGTGTACCACGAAAAAGTTGACCAAATGCTAAATCTATTGTTTGTTGTGATGATAATAGTTTTAATCTTTGTGCACCACTTTCACCATGAATGCCCATACCAAGTTCCATTTCATCATCAAGTAACTAAATTAAATTAGAAAAGAAAAAATAGACAAACAAAAATATTTGTTTTGTTTTTCTATAAAATTACAATAATAAACTATACCTCAAATGCTTTCTGTTGACCTGGTGGATGAACACCTGAAGCCGATAAACCAATTGTACGTAAATGACCTCGTACTTTTTGACAAATATCAACAATTTCATTCATATTTTTGCCTTGTTCAGCTAAAGCACCAGCTATTTTAATTATTAACAATGCTCCAGCTAAACCTCGAGGTCTACAAAAATAAAAATATTCGATTTAATAAAGAAATTGATTTTGTTCTTTTATCTACCCAATAGCACTATCAACAGCAGCATCATCGGCTACAACCAACATATCAATGTCAATCGATAATTCTCGTGCACGTTCCATAGCTAAACCAAAATTAAGTCGATCGCCTGTATAATTAAGAATAATTAAAAGTATTTGTTTAGCACCACGACGTTTCATTTCAATAATAAGTCGAAGGATATCAGATGATGGTGGTGATGCAAATATTGAACCTGATATACCTATTAAATCAAAATTTTTCTTTTTTTCTTTTTTTGTTTTCGTTAATTCATTTTAAAATATTCACTTACAAGCACTTAATAATCCACGACCAACATAACCAGTCTAAAAATAAATTGAAGTTTTTTTTTTTTGAATCATTTATTCATTTTTAATGTACCGTAGCTGGTTCATGACCAGAACCACTTCCACTAATAATAGCCACAGATGGAACTTGAGATCGTGCAATAACAGCTCTACCCATTAATTCTAAATGATTATGTGCACGAACATAACCAATAAGTGAATCATCTACACATGAATTTATTTCGTTTATAAAATGTCCAGGCATCTGAAATAAGAGATTTTTAAAATATAATCTATACAATAAATTGTCTCATTTCTTTTTTTCTATTTAATATGGAGAAGAAAAACCGGCTGGTGTTTTTTTATTATTCTCATTTTGTACACATAGATAAATAAATCGTTCACCCATATGATTAGGACTGACTAATTTCTCCACAGCACTTAAAATTTCTTTTTGTTCTTCGGGTGTTTTATCGCGTGCAAGTGTCTTGAAAAAAAAAGAAAAATATTCATTCATAAAAAATATAAAAAATAAAATAAAATATTATCTTACTGTTGCTCGTATATCGATACCCAAATTATAGAGAAAATTTCGTTGAGATATAGGTCCATAGAATTGAACTAGAAGTTTATAAAAACAAACGCATGAAACGTCTAGTATATCTTTTTTTATTATCATGAATATCAAAGATTTATGATGATTGAGAAAGTTATCTATTTATGATGGATATCCTAATGGGATCATCAAACTATGTGTGTTTTTTCTAGTTTTCAACAATATCTTACCATTTGATATTTGCGTACCGCTTAAAGCTAATTCTTCAAAATCAACATCTGCTGTTATATCAATATTTCCTGGATCTGAAAGAGCATCAACAACTTCATGTTTACGAAATCCCTATAGAAAGAGTATTTGCAAATCTTATTAATGAAAAATACCAATCGTTAAATATCAATACATACACGAAATGTATCTTCTTTTTCTCCCCAATGACCATAATCTCCTATCAAAGCCGAACCACCATGAGTCTTTACATGTTTACATATATTTTGCATCATTACCGAACGTTGTGGACTGATTTCCACGTGTTGTCTCTCTTCTATATTACTAAGAAACTAAAAAAGAAAATAAAATACATCAATTAGTAGAAAAAATATGATTTATTTATTTGTGTTAATATAAAAGAAGATACATTTTGATAAAGTTGACTCATTGTCGTTTGTCTTGGAGACAGTACATATTGAAGTTGTTTTGTTATCGGATTCCAATCAATCATAACTTCTTTCCAACCTTGTGCAGTTTTCTTTTGATTATAAGAAAAAAAAATTATATTGTGTATTGCGGTTTTTTTTTTATAATAGATAATCTTTTACTTGAAATTTATGTATAGGATAAGCATCAAAAAGTTCATTAGCAATAAAATATGTATTATAAGATTTTAATTGTTTAAGATCATCTATCCATACAAGTGAATAATTACTATTAGGTATGCGATAATCATGAGTAATGAAAGGATCAAACTTTTAAAACAAAAGAAAAAATTTTTCAATCACATTTCCTAAATTTTCTTTTTTTTTTTTTTTTGAAATTACCGATCGACCAAATAATGTTTCCGCTTGACGTCGTCGCATAAGTGGACTAGCTTCGTACAACGCAATGAATGTATTTTTATCAGAATAATTTCGTTTTTTTAACACCTTTTAAATTAGACGTTCTCTCCTTTTATCTTTGAAAAATGAGAAACAAAAAACAAAAAAACAAACACCTTACTCGAATAATATCATTCATTAGTGTACCTCGACCAGGTCCTAATTCTACCAATTGCATAGGATTATTACCATTTGCTGAATGTTCATACATGACCCATACAGCTAATAACTTAAATAAAAAAATAAGAGAAATAAAATTATTAACATCATACTTCGCCAAACATTTGACTAATTTCGGGTGCCGTAATAAAATCACCTTTCTTTCCGAACACTTCATGTCGTGTGTAATAACCCTGCAAGAAAAGTGAAATTAACCAGATCCTTTTCACTATGTTTGATAGAAGTAATAGAAGAAGAAGAAGAAGAACAAGAACAAGAAAAAACTATTAGACTAAATAGCAAACGCACATATTTTGGATTCAATAATGATTCGCGCATAAATTCAGCCACTGTTATAGGTCCACCAGATTTAATTCTTGCTGATAATTGTTTAACTAATCCATTTGTATCTGATGTTGCCCAAACTGTTGAATTAGTTGATGAATTTTTCTTATTATTTGATGAAGAACTATTGACAGGATGGTTTGTTGTACTTGATTGGTAACGATTAGAAGAAGAACAATAGATTCGTTGTAGAAAGACATATGAAAATTGACGAATTGAAAACATCTAGAATGAATTTGCATATCTGCAAATACGATTGATGATGTGGATTAGTCTTTTTTATAGAATTAGATGAGCCTTGAAAAGCATTATACAATACCGTCAGAGTTATTTTTTTTCTCTCTTTCTCTGTTTCTTTTTTCTATGTTTTGTTCGTCATAAATAGCAGAGAAGAAAAACTGCAATCTCGACCCTTTTTTTTCTCTTTTCATCTGCTTGTCTATCTATAGGTCTGGATTTTTTGCATTTAGTGGGTGTTGCACGTATAATGCAGTTTATCTTAAATAATGGAAAAAAACAGACAAGTAGTAACTATCAGAAAAAAAGAGTTCTTCTCTGTATGATAGTTAATTCAAATAGTGGTCATAATAATATGTTCGAAATGAAAAAACACACAAAAAAAGCAAAAGCCTGCTTTCTATTTTCTGAACCATAGATGTTGATAGTAAACAGAAAAATAATTAGCCAAAAATATGTCAAATTTAGTTAAGAATTTTGACAAATAATAAGAACAAACACATTCCAATGTTTGATACTATACAACATTTCTTATTTCTTCAATTCTCTTTTCTTTCTCGATCACCTGCCAATATTTTTTTTCGTTTTGTCAATCAATTAATTTTTATACATAAAAACATTCTTATGGAATCAATTAATATATAAATTAATTGAAAATATGTATTATTATGTTTTACTAAAAAATTCATCTGGAATAAATCAAATAGCAACCATTTCTTTTTTACTCTCTGACAAAGACCATAAGACCATTGTTTTTGTGTTTTCTATATAGACTGATGACAACATCAGAACTATATTTAGAATTAAACAACGGTAGATAAGGCGTACTATCTCCTATTATATATGTACATATATTAATCTGCGAAAAGATAAAAACATCTACTCAATGGTCGATACTATTTATATATTTCTTTCTCGTTTACAATTTTGAAATAAAAACTACAAAGAGCATATGCATGTATATTATATGTCAGTATATATCATATAGATTTATTTACAAAAAAAACTGCTTAAGCAATCCTTACAAGATTAAAATGTGAAATACCATGTATCTGCTGTTGTTAAGCACAGGAACATTGTTTTATGCTATCTATTTTGAGACACATTTCTTCATCCATCCTTTTACTTAATCTTCTGAAAATACAATACGGAAGTAGTTTAACGAAACATTATTAATATATGATCTGTGATCATATAACAACAACATCTGTTACAGTATGTGACAGACCCAGTATTATGTCTGTCACGACCTATCGATTTGGCCTATGACATTTTCATGGTAATTTCTGTTTCAACACACTTTTTATATTAGAGTTTCACAAAATGAAAACAAACAAAACAAATAGGAAAAAAAAAATAATATTTATCAAAAAATAAATTTTTTTTTCTTGATACACTTGTTCTTCGTTAAACATAACGTTCGTATTCAATAGAGATAATTATATCTTGATCATGAATATTTTAAATTTGTATAAAGATAAATATTTTAGAAATATTGAGTATTTGTTATTATCTGGAAAATAAGATAATTATGAAAAAAAGAACAAATTGAATAATATGAAAAACCAAAAAAGAAAAAAATATATTATGTATAGATTTTTAATGATTTGCTGAATCAAATACTAATGATGTACCATTAGATGGTACTTTTGTTGGTTTCATATTAATCCAAGGATCTTCTAACATATTTGTACGAAAAAAACTATTAAATTTACGATTCGAAGAATTAATCATAGTTGTTTGATATTCATTATTATTATCGACTGATTGTTCTTGTTGTTGATCAAAATTTTTATCACGAATATGTGAACGATAAGCGCCACCACCACGTTTATTATATGAATATCGACCACGTTGCGAAAAATCTATAAAAAAAAATAATTATTGAAATAAATCACATAACAAAAAGAAAAAAAACACTAACCACCATGTTGTCGTATTCGAGAGCTAGATGTTGGATAAGGACCTATGACAAAAGAAAAATTAATAATGTAATTAAAAGATTTAAATTTACCTTGAGAATAATTTTGTCCTCGAAAACGAGTTGGAGATTCTTGCCATGATGATGGACTCGAACCAAATGAATGATAAGAATCAAGTGATTCATTTGGTGGAATTCCTTGTGAATTCATATTTGGATTCATAACTGAATATAAAATAATTTATTTCTTATCTATAATGTTGTTTCTTTCGAAAAAATGAAATTCTTTTGAAAAAAAAACAGAAAGAAAAATTGACGGATATTATCATTGGTTGTCTAATCATCGAAACAGAATGTCTTCGTACGACATCACAATGGCTGTTGCTTAGTTTCAAAAATACAAAATGGCTATAGAAGATTTTTTTTCTCTCGTAGCAAACAAAACTAAAATATCAAATTGTCTTCTATTCAATGGCTGTACGAGCACCTCGTTTACAATCAGCTAAACCTCTTACACTTTCACGATGGTTTGTTTTGAATTTATTTAATCGATTAAAAAAATCAAATTTATTTTTTATTTTATTTAGGTGGACAAATGGTTACTATGGTCAACCAATTGCATTTGTCGATCAAATGGTACTATTCTATGCTATTGATGATGGTTTACGTTTTCATGATTTTACTGATTATGATAATCAAAAATGTATAACAAGTCAAGTAGATGGAATTGGTGTTGGAGTTATTGTATGTTGTTTTTATTTCCCCCCACCTTCTCTTCCACAGAAAAAAACTTTTATCTTTTTTATTTCAGGCTGGTAATGCTGATATGCATTTATTTGCTTATGCTGATTATCAAAATCCACCAATAATTCATTTATCTCAATATCCATCATTAAATGAAATGAAACAATTTACTAATGGAGCTGAATTTGAATATAGTGCATTGCAATTTTCAACAACTGAAGAATTATTATCACTTTCAACATCGCCAGATTATTTATTAACTATATGGAATTGGCGTAGTGGAATAAAATTAGCTCAATGCGAAACAACAAAAAAAACGCTAATAGAAATAAGTTTTAATCCAAATTCTTGGTATGATATTGGAATACTTTATCGTGATCAAATTAATTTTTATACATGTGAACGACGAAATGATAAATATGTTTTATTTGAAAGACAATTAACATTAGAATTATTTAATCAAACTGTTGCTCATAATCAACCAACACATCAACAAACAAAAACTAAACAATCAAGTCCACTTAGAGGTATAATAAAAATAAATTGCATTTTTTTTGTTTTTTTCTTTGTTTTTGAGTTTTTCTATTTAATAAATATTTTAGTTGCTGATGTTATTCGACGTTTTCCAAGTCGATTTTCATTTACATTAGTTGATAGTACTGTTGGAATGGATCAGGGAACAAGTCTAAAACTTGTTGGTATGTATATTTCAATAAATTCTTGTATAAATCCCAGTTTTAAAACGAAAAAATCTGAATTAGAGCGTTTATTGTTTGAAGGGTGACATTGCCCTTGAACTAACGTGTGATATGGAATACTACCTAGCTGCAAATTTCATAGTCCGATATCTTCCCTACAACTATGACTAACTGTAGCTCTGGACAGCAGATCAGCCTGACACAAAGTTCTTGCGCTCAATTGCTTGAGCTTCTCATACACATTAACTAATCAAAAGAGCAGGTGTATGTCAAAATGTAGTCATCATGCCTGAGGACGAGTGATCCAAGGTAAATAGTTGTTAGTGATTTGTCCAAGGTCATTTCATGACTCATGATACTGGAGTTTGCACAAAGTACTTTGTGAATACTTACTGAGCAGTGTAGCTAATCGCGAGGGAACTTTTCGAAGTGTCAAATCGCTTTTGAATTAAGACTACGTGTATCATGTAGGTACTAAGGATCTATGAATGCTCTGAGAAGAGTTCGGACTAATAGCTTATTACTATTGAAATATTGTATCTTTATCATATTTTTTAGCAGAATGTCTTACGAGGGAACCGATACAACTGATAAATCGCTTTTGAGTTCAGACTCTGTGCATAAGATAGACCCTCGTGAGGTATGAGAAACCCTGAAAGGACAAGTGCCCATAGGCCTTCTGTCCAGAGTTCTAGGCATTTTATTGGAATTTTAGCCTATGACATGGTGTATACCAATAAATCGAATGACGGTATTTCGAGCTGAGATTTTGCTCACAGAGGGGCCTATTTGTGAGTAGAATGTCCTGAAAATTTCAGTTCAAAAGAGTGTTTCCTTCCCAAGATATTAAAGTTCCGAAAAGTAGGAAATTCTAGCGACTTTGTGGGATATGCGCGATTTTTGAGGCTGTAATATCTCGGGAGAAAAATGTTCTTTTGAGTTGAAATTTTTAGGATATACTACTAACAAATAGACCCCTCTGTGGGCAAAATCTCAGCTCGAAATACCGTCATTCGATTTATTGGTATATACCGTGTCATAGGCTAAAATTCCAATAAAATGCCTAGAACTCTGGACAGAAGGCCTATGGGCACTTGTCCTTTCAGGGTTTCTCATACCTCACGAGGGTCTATCTTATGCACAGAGTCTGAACTCAAAAGCGATTTATCAGTTGCATCGGTCCCCTCGTTAGTCCTCCTCAGAAACACTGAGTTTCGAATTTCAACTTGAAATTTGGCTTAGAGACATCTCTTAATGAGGATAGTTTATTGTAAAAGCATAGTTGTCGCACTGCTCATATACAACAGCAACTTCCGATGTTCTTATTTCAGAATGGGCTCAATCGAAAGATACGAAACTTTCACAATAAATTATTCCCGTTAAGACTCGTCTCTGTGCAAAGTTTTAAACCGAAACTCGATTTTTCTGAGGAAGGTCACGGTATTCGTCTGAAAAATACAATAATAATATAGTATTTCGACAGCAATAAGCTATTAGCACGAACTCTTTTCAGAGTATTCATAATTCATTAGAAGCTACATAATCCCGACTGAAGAGAACTTTGACACGTAAAAACATTCACTCATTAGCTATGACAACATCTATTGTTGATTACAAAAGATACTGAAAACTAAATATTGTATGATTTTTCTTTCTGTAGCATTTGATAGTGAAAATGAAGATGCTTTTCAAACATATATTGATGAAAAAATTGAACTTATTGCAACATCATTTTGTTGGGGTGATAAAGGTTATGTATTTATTGGTACAGATGATGATTCTCTTATTCAAATACTTTTACAATTTGATCGTGAAAAACATCCATTTCGTGCAACACGTTTTGCAGAAGAAGAAAAATTTAAATCACATGGTTCAATAGGAATGTTTAAAAAAATATGTTTACATAAACTTGGTTTATTTTGTGCTGGTTCAGATGATATTGTTCGTTTAATTACATTTGAAAATCAAGATGGTACATTACAAGAAGCAAATAATGTTAATGATATTATGGAATTAAATGCTAATATAACAACAATACTATTTAATCAATCATATAATAATTTATTTATTTGTTCAAAACAAGGTGTTGATATATTTGATTTAGTTACAATGGAACCAAAACAATCAACTCTTATTCCAGTTGCACTTGGAAAAATTGTTGATATTGTATTTGTTAATCCGTCTAATGAATTAATTGTAACAGTACGAGATTCAGGTGCCTTAGAAGCTTGGTCAATAAATGATGGTTCAAGAAAATTTTCAACACATATTGATAATCAAACGATTAGTCATATAGTTACAAGTCCTATTTTACCATTGATTGTTGTTACTTCAACAACAGGTATTTTTTATTTTTTTGAAATTAATACAGATGGTTTTCGTCTTATACATCGTTTACGTGTTCATTCAAATGATATACGTTGTATTAAATTTAATCCACATGGTACAATACTTGTATCAGCTGGTATTGATAATAGTTTATTTATAATAGAAATTAAAACTGATCAAATATTAGTTGATAATATATTTCAAATAATCTATCGAACTGATCTTGATGGTGAACCATTTGCACTTGATTTAGATGATTTTGAAAAACAACGAAGTAATATTGAATATGATGATCAACAACAACGTGAATATGATGATGAACATATTGCACATAGAAAAGATACATCAAATGAAACAAGAATTATTATTGCATTAAATACTAAAACAGAAAAATTTGGTCGATTTTTTATTATCGATTTTGATTGGCAACAATATCGAGGTAAAATAATTCAATAATATATTATTTTATTGTGAAACACAATCTAAAAAAAGTGTTGAAGTACATTCTGATGATTGATCACAAGCCCGTAACAGACTCCTTAGAAACGTTCTCCTGTCCCCGCATCATCGACTATAATAGACATTGTTGATATACGATCTTTGATGGTATATCAATAATGTCTTGAAGATGATAAGGAAATGTGTCTCAAGATAGATAGAACAAAACAATCCTTCCGTGATTAGTAACAGTAGCTACATCATGTTTCACATTTTAATATTTTAGGGATTGCGCTAATAGCTTTTGTTTTATATTTATTTAGAAAATCGAAATTTACAAACATCAAGTACGAATGAATCATATATAGATTATTTTATTAATGATACATCAACAAAAATAATAACAAAAACTAATTTTGCTATTCATGATACAATTGAAGATTTTCTAATAACAGCTAGAAATCAATTAATTACATTAGGAGGAACATCTTTAAGAATGTGTCGTATACCGGATGAAATTGGCAAGGTAAGACAAAAAAATAATAATTAAGAATGAGAAATTTTACGATAGATTTATATATAAACAGAATAAAACTGAACGACGAGGACGACGAGGCGTGAGAATGATATTTTTTTTTTTATATTGATGGTGCTATTTTATGCTTCGATCAATGAATCGTTTTTTTCTTTTATATGATTTCTCTTTCATTTTGTTGATCTATTACTATGAATAGTTGCGATTAATGATTATTTTCTTATACAGGATTCAAAAAATCGTCGATTTAAATCAAAACGAGATGTATGATAAATTAGAAAAGAAAAAAAAAATTGGTTGCTTTTAATTTTGCTCTTTAATTTATCTTATTAGTTGTATCAAATACTCTTATTTCTTTATACATTTAGTTAGGAAAATTAATCAGTGTTGAACCACAAGATTCACTTGCTGGTTTGCCTTCTTCCGGTGGTCATTTATACAAAAATAAAGCAATACAATCATGGATAATTTGTGTTAGTC